ATTATTATTGTTGTTATTATTCTACATGTAGATGATAGGCAATCAGTGTTTCATGAAATTGTTACGGCCCATTTTACATATTACTGTAAATTCCTTTTTTTGTGGGGTACCAATTTTCGTGGGTCTATCAATCCATGAACATGTGTGTTTTTTATCAAAACCACAAAAATTGGGATCCACGAAAATAAGTGACATTACAGTACTTCATTCTAGGTGAAAGATATGAAAACCTCGAAGCCCCTGGGAATGCTGAGCATTAATCTCAATGAGCTGCTGAATGCTCCAGAGATGGAGATGAGACAACCTTATAAGCTGAAGGAATCCGGCCAGGAAAGCACACTCACTATTTGGCTGAGAATGAGGGTGAGCGGGTCACTTTATTCTGGGCAGTTGCATATCTGCATTATAGCAAACTGTCAGGACAAACATCAATTATATTCATTTTAATAACCACCTAATCAAAATGTTTAATTATTTAATGGTATTTTTAAGTCCAGTAGTTCTAAAATAAACCTGGGCATGTAGTCAACATGTGCTTCACTAAGTACATGAATCACCTTGACACGTCTCGTGATCGTCTTTCATCCTGCCTAGATGTTTTTCCGATGTTCTTCCGTACCATCTTGATGTTCTTTCCTTGATGTTCTTTCCTTGATATTCTTCCTCTTTTTCGTTCTGCCTTGATGCCCTTCTTGCTGTTTCTATGACATGTTTTCACTGATTTGAGCTGATTTATCGTTGCAATGCGGCTTTATGTTGCTGCATAGGTTCTGGCTCCCGGCCCTCTCACCACTGCCGTGCCGGTAGCGGCATGCGATTATGATGCAGTCGATGAACTGAGTAACGGAGCAGCTTCTGCTATCGCCGAGAGTAACGGAGTGCCCTCAGCTGCGACAACACCCACAGGTAAATGCCAGCTATCACCTGTAGGTGGGTAAACGTTACAGCCATGGGTGCATTATACGGATACAGGAAGATAATAATAGATTTTACCCTTACAGGAGGGTAAAAATTACATCTACAGGTAGATTAAGCCATGGGTGCATTATACGGATACAGGAAGATAATAATAGATTTTACCCTTACAGGAGGGTAAAAATTACATCTACAGGTAGATTATACACCCACAGGAAGGTAATATATACCTACAGGTAGATTATACACCCACAGGAAGGTAATATATACCTACAAGTAGATTATACACCCACAGGAAGGTAATATATATACCTACAGGTAGATTATACACCCACAGGAAGGTAATATACCTACAAGTAGATTATACACCCACAGGAAGGTAATATATATACCTACAGGTAGATTATACACCCACAGGAAGGTAATATATATACCTACAGGTAGATTATACACCCACAGGAAGGTAATATATATACATACAGGTAGATTATAC